TGAGTTTTCAGATGCTTATTCAAGTGATAAATCATTATCAGTAGACGACAAGGGGGCTATAAAGATTGTGGAAGGGGGCACGCACTTCGGCGACGGTCATTTTGTAGTTTCTATACCGTGGAAAAAGAATCCAAATATGAAAGTGGATAATTATGAAGTAGCAAACCGTAGATTACAAAGTTTGAAAGGTATGTTGTCGAAGGACGTCAGCCTGAACATCAGGTACATCAAAAGTATTGAAAGTAATTTTACTAAGACTTATGCGGAGAGGGTCCTTGAAATATATTTGCAGCCTAATTATCGCCCTCGAGGGTATTTACCTCATCATGCAGTGTTAAACATGAAAAAACCAGAGGAACTTAGAGTGGTCCTTGATTGTGCCGCCGAGTTTGCAGGGTTTTCCACAAATGATATGATTTATCAAGAACCCGATACCACTGATGAGTTAATGTGTATATTATTAAGTTTTCGCAAGGAGGCAGTTACAATCCCTGCAGATGTTGAAGAAATGTTCATGCAATTGGTCTCTGAGTCTGATCGAGGAGCTTCAAGATTTCTGTGGTGGCAGGAGGGAGACATGTCGAGGGAACCATCTGAGTTTCAAATGACATCTCATCCATTTAGTGCCATATCATCGCCGTTTCGTGCGAACTTTACCTTGAATAAGACGGCTCAAATATTCTCTGACGGTTATGATGGTTATGTTGTAGATGCTGTCAAGAATAATTTCTATGTTGATGATTGCTTGATATCCATTCCCAATTGTGATCAAGCAAAGAGTTTCGTTAAGCATATAAGTGAATTATTATGTAGAGGAAGTATGCAAAAAATGATCGATCTTGAATATTGGTTCAAATGTCCTACTTTATTGCATGGCGAATTTTATATAACAATCACTGACTGTCCGGAACCTACTCCTGACGATATTGAGTTTAGAAAAATTGCTGTGGTTAACTTGAGTAGTATAAAGCAAAACATGTCACCTATTCTCTCTTATAAATCCGAGTGGTTGAAATTAGTCGGGGCCGTAGCCTGGCTTAGAAGGTTCATAGAATTTCTGATGGTGCTTCGTTCACCGAGTCATGAAGGATCCGTTCATCTAGGATGTTTAAAGGTCAAGGAGCCTGACATCGCCAAGGGTAAGAATTTATTGATGGTTCAAAAGGAAGTGTGTGGAGAATTATTTAGTGAATTTAGAAACAGAAGTAAAGTAGTAAGTCATAATGATCTGAAAGGTTTATCACCGATAATGCTTGATGGGTTACTCTGTGTTACAGGTCGTCTAAGCTACTCAGAATTATTAAATGCTTTTGAACGTCCAGTAATTTTACCCAGTCGACACTTAGTGACGGAAATGATAATTAAACATTGTCATAAAGTACCAGGACATATAGAAAGGTCATTGGAAAAAGGATATAGATATGGGTTTACTTGTTTGCAAACATGGGCAATACATATTGAACTGATGTATAGTTTGATTACTGGTTCATTTATAATGGCCTTATTACGTTTTATTGGAAGAAGAAGGAAACCTCCGGAGATTTACAGTGATAGTGCGTCAAGCTTCATGGGAGCAGATTCTGAATTAAGGAGGTTTGTGCAACAGTCGAATCAGCAGAAGATAAATATTGAATTGTCAGCGAGGTCCTCATCCAACAGCATGGGTGTAATTTGGGGAAGAGTGATTAGGTCTATACCAAGACTGTTATTGTTGATCACGAGAGAACAGGTGAAGCAGGTCTCCTTGAAGCTTTGGATTAGTCTTTGTTGTTATTGATGTAGTTAGGTCGAGTAGGCGTACTGTTGTAAGTCCTACTCGTTCCTATGGTGTGATATGTTATATAATGAACCATGACCGTAGGCATCAAGGTAGCTTGTGTGATATGGAGGGATTTTGGGGGCCGGTGTAAGATCCATTTTGAATGCCTTGTGTGTTTGTGAAAATCCCTCCATGTATATACTTGCACTTTGTTCCTATTGATCTTCTTAGTTGTACATTGTTAACTTTTGGACTACATTTGAATTGTTAATCTTTGTATTTTATTATAGTTTTTGTTTTTACCACACCTTCACTAATTCCCCATGTTTCTTCCCGAACTGCACTTATGTTGTTTTACTTTATACTAAGTCTGAGCGGCAGCCATTTTGGTTGGTTCCTGCTTTGATTGCTTGACCTGTGTTGACTGGAATTGTGCATTTTGGTTGTGAATTGAAGCACTCTTCCAGAATTGAAAACACTCTGTGTTATAGAGCGACCAATTGTTACCTTTTGAACGAATTTGTACGTGATCTATCCAGACAGGATAGAATAACATTTATTTGTGGTGATTGGTAATTTTCTTGCATTCTTTATCAACTTTCTTATTTATTGTAGTTTAGATTTGATCAATTAAACAATTATTGGTTGGATAGCTGTGTGGTTATATTTGTTTAGGTAATAATGTATACTTAAATTTATGATAAATTATAGAACCGCTATCTTACCCAATTACCTTGTTTTGGTTTCAAACGGGCGAGGGCGCGTATCGAACTTATCCAGGCAGCTGTCCAGCAGTCCAAACGTGGTTTGGATCCTACACTCGTTTTTGAATCGGATTCGCATTTTAGTTTGGCGATTGTAGTATTTATACTAGTTGATGATTCCTTTGTGTTTGACTGAACACTGATTACGAATTATGGATATAATGCGTTTATCTGTGCTCATCTAGTTCTATCTGGTTTTACATGGCTTAAATAGTACTAATTCCGAAATCACTGACTAGCATATCAATTCAAATACTTCTAATTATCACAATTTTGCATGAGCCTTTTACGAGATGGTCTGCACCTTTTAAAATTCAGTCACATAGGCGACTGTGGTTTTGGCAAATGGTTACTATCTGATGGACACTTACTGTTGTCTTACACGATACACCATAACTTGAATTTCCCAATACTTGTATACCATGCTACTTTGGTTTTATGTTTGTTTACATGAAGTAAAGGTTTTGCAAATACCTAAACAGCCTCTCAAACTTTCCGGAGACCCCACCATAATCTCCAAATATATTTGTGTTTGCGCACTCAGCTATTAAACTAAGGTTACCCAAACAAAAGTTCGTCGTGACAGTCAGTATGTATAGTACCGATACTATTTTGCCGTGACATTAATACATGCGTCCGAACCGCTCTAATTATTCAAATTTGATGCCATAATTTGTGCATTTTACTCAAAATAAACTGAGGAGCCCTAAACATTAAGCTTAGTCAAAGGTAATCGGCCATTCTTGCGTCCCAACTGCTAGACCACGTAACCCATAATAAATGTTATTTTTACATATGTAATATGCAAAGATTTAAGTGGTTGTTTTCCATGCACTGTTCACTCATCAACATTGTAGAATCTAATTCATAATGATTTTTCAAGACTACCATGTAGGAAAATAGCAGTCACGAATTGCGACTGGTACAATCGAAACAGCTGTCAAAACAAACTCAGTCGGTCGATTGGCTTATATGATTATTAATTACATGAAATACTGTTTCCTCGTGGTTCTTGTCTAAAAGATAATCACGGTGCAAATATAGGCTATTCCAACGCTCGACGATTTCCAACCTGTATAGTTTAATTAACGATCTGGCAATGCAACTATTCGCACATATCGTAAGTTTGCGCAGTAGTGCTTGTCTTGTTGCTTCCGTCGCCACACTGACAGTGTTTTGAACCAGTATCATTAGCGTGAATCCAGATCGACACTGTTGGTTTCTTTTTTTCGATCCAGCTATCAAACACGTAGGTAACGCTTGCCATCCGCAATTTTGTAGAGAGAGATTTATTATTGATCTGTAGTCTATGGCCGTTACTGATTGTGGCAACAATCATCAGTTTTTCAAACTCTTACTGCTCAGTGATTAATAACCTCCCACGATGAAATCAGGATTTCTTTTATCCACAATTATACTTTTGTACTTGCAGCTATTCTGCCAAATATGAAAAAAAAATTTAACTCTTACGAACAGAAATCTGTCGCAGCGATAAACAAACATTTCTGCTGACCACGTTGGTTCTACTGGACACACCTAGCTTCAGGCTCTCTGCCATTCGTCAGCACCAGGTCAAGAACGAGTACACCGTGCTACTCATACCTTCTAACCGCTAGCCAGTCTAGACCAAACCCATCTTGCCATATCGATATCCTACCAAATATATCTTAGATCCACCCCTACATAGTTGGCGGGATTTCGGACAAATAAATGTGAAGTAAATTCATGTGTATATTTACAAGAATGCTCGACATTGCAAGCAAACAATTAATTAATTAAGACATATGATGTACATAACAAGTAACACCAAGAACTTCGACTGTATGGAAGCCCAACTAAGAGCGTCCTGACCTCACAGTAAAGTCGTCACCATCCCGAGAACTGTGATCTGGCCCATTTCAAAGTAGACTAACAAGTAAATTTTCTGTCTAAGCTTCCACGAATGCTTTTCAAAGTTACTAGTGCATAACTGGCAATAAAAGAAAAACGAATCAACCATGTCAGGAAAAGATATCCTTTCCACGTCCTGTAGTGTATGGAATATTAGTCAAGTACCTGTGTTTTCTTAAGGGATGCCTGTAAAGTTTTTTTGAAGCCATCATTGATGAGAGTTGTGGGTGATGTTTTGACGTTTTAGTGATGAATTCTGATCAGGTGTTGTGCGTTATCGGAAAAATTGGTAGTTTATTAAAACCCAGCAACTGGAAGACATAAAAAAAGAGGGGTAGTACGGAATAATTCTTTTGTCAGTAGCCATTTCGTCAGGAAGACAACTATTTTCGTGGGAGGAAGCCTACATAAACAAAGCTTTCTTACTCAAATGATACAGTCACCTACATGCAAAAGTTAGCAATAATCAACCACTTCATATAATTTATGCACTTTTGATTTTTGGGTGTTTTCGCTTCATGACTTTAAGTGTGTATTGTTCTCATTTCATTGTTAATTATCTAAATCAGTTGTTGAATTAACAGAGCGGGTATTTTAATTTTTCAAGGTTGGATGTGTAAATAAGCTCTTTCGTTATCTTTAAGAAACACAAATTAGTTAAGTTTCACCGTAAGTTCACACCATAAGGTTATAGGATCTAAAGCTCCGAGTGGCAAATATCTTGAGGTGGAGATTTGGAGTCTCAGTTACCATACTGTTTTATTCAGACGTGATTCCCATATGTATACATATGGGAATAACTATATTTATTGAGCTCCTAGTATCTAGTGTTTAAAGTGAGTTTTTTTCAGACCATTCTTCCATAAAATAAAACAACAGATCTTTAGAAGATGTACATAGACACCATTAGAACTGGTAAATAATCAAAAAAAGTATAAGTATACTTTTACTTATACTCATTGTCTCGTGTCTTTTTTTAACGTTCTGAAAGAAAACCCTAAATTCGATAGGCTATTCGTGAACAAAAGTCATTGTTTTATTGAAATTAATATTTCTTTACTGTAATTTAATATTTAAAGGTTTATTAATCTAATGGTGATGAAATGTTATTGTGGAATAATGAGCAACGTATGTTTTGGTGATTTACTCCAAAATTTCCACAAACTTTGGGGAAGGTTATTCAACTTTGGGAATTCCCCCAAATTTTTTCAGACATTGGGGATTTCCCCAAAGTTGGGAGCTTGAGTAGTCTTATTGAAAATCCATGCACAAATTTCTGCACACATATGTATTTTTGTACAGTGAAAATATTGCGTTGAAGTAATTAACACTCAAGTAACCTTAAAATATCCATCAACCAAGGTGGATGACGATTCCCAATGAAGCTTCTCAACTTTCTTGGCTTTAAATTTTCAGCACATACTGTATGCTCATAAAGACCCTAAGGTGCCATTCGGAATGTTTTCATATACTATCATTATTGATATTCACATACTGTCATGTCCATTCAGTGTTAATTTAAGTTTGATATTTCCCATTTCACCCCTATTCAGTACTAAAGAGTGTTTAGAAAAAATCCTTTTCGTTGTGCCATTGAAGTTTTAGTGTTTGTAACGTCCAATTTTTTGAAGTTCATATGGTCAAGATTCTAATGTTTAGTCACGTTCTAAGCCATTTAGTGGTATATCAATTTTAGTTGTCAGTTAGGCAGTTATTTTCATGTTCCCTAAATCCGGAATTTATCGCAAAAAATTATCGTCTTTACAATCAGTGTCAATGGTGAGATAAAATGTGTTAGCCTAAGTCTCCGTATATAATTAACACAATAGGATTTAACTAACAAGTTGAGTGTTAATGGGACAAGACTATAATTTATCGACGAACAAATCAGATATCAGTCAGTCAGCTACAAGGACCAGCCATCGGTCCAAGTTGCCACACCTCATAAGCACAACAAGATAAACACCGAATTCATGAAGTAGTTATGTGGTGTGTGCTGCTTATATTGACATAAGTAGTATTTGATGTTAGTCGTGAACAGAAGGTCTGGCAGCAGAGACACAAGAGAATCGAATAGTAAAGAATGGAAACAATGCAATTTGTATGAAAATGCAAGGACAATGAAGTCTGAGTCATTTTGAGAATATTGATGGACATTTTGCAAATTAAGCATTTAATTTATGATTGTTACATACATCACACTCATTTGCCAAAAGATGCGAAAACTCGTAAGCCTATTTTCCACTTTTGCTTAGTGCCTAAGTAGATCTAACCTCAGTATTGCTCGTTCCCTTTTTCCACGACACGCGAGTAGCGCTTCGAATATATTGAAAGGGGTCTTGATCAATCTGTGTCTGTGAATGTCAGTACTAATTTATGTACTCGGTTCTTCTGTTTTATGTAACATTATCCCTTGATTAAACCACTTAATAATTTCATGCCTTAATTTTGACATGATTTCTTTATCTTCCATATTTTCTAGTTCTTTTGTTCCACAAAAGACTACTTTGTCATGGATTTATTTCCATTCTATTTGTTTGTTATCTGTCGACACTAGTTCTGCGCGATTTTCCAATTTTTTTTATCATGTCTTTGAGTGAAATAGTTGAGAATGTAAAGCAAGCACGAGAACTGGCTTTGCTTGGAAACTATGAAAGTTCGTTAACGTATTATTCTGTTGGTCTTGCTCAACTTAAGAAGTTCACTGTTTCAATTTCTGAAGCAAATCGAAAACAACAATGGCAAACTGTAAGTTTTGTTTTCTACCGATGTTTGAGTAATATTTTGTATATTGTTAAGGCTAGTGATATTCCCGTTACCAAAACTGAGACAGGTGATGCAGGTTTCGGACTTGTGGCATACTGCTCGGCCGCTTCAGCTGTTAAGCCATCGTTCCATCAGGTCGTATCAGTATCCGTTACATAGAAATTGCTTGTAAATGAGGTCACACAACTGCAATTGGTAGATGGGTTACCTTGAAATTATGGATTGGGTTGTTTGATCGTTTCAGTCCTTAAAACATCTCATTTTTTCACACCTGGAGATATTAGTACTACGGTGCAACATTTATGTTACAATTTTTTAAAGACATGTATTCTAAGTATATTTTAGCCAACTGTAGGTCTTTATTCCTGACCACGAGACCTTATATATTCGTTTAGTGTTTACTGTTTAGTTCATTTAGTTGATACACTTCTTACTGGCTGTTTTTGTTTGTCGTAGGTACGGCAAGAGCTTACAGATGAATATGAACTGGTTAAAGACGTCAACCAAACGTTGTCTAGTTTCAAAATATCTGATGATGACTCGGGTTTGAGTGCTTTTGCCAGTCGCTATAATTCCCGTTCAACTGTTGAAGAGCCAACCAGAGACCCAGATGTTTGGCCACCTCCCCCTCCTCTCGAACGAAGGCATGGGAATAGTTCTCAAAACGCTGGATCAAATATTCAGCCAAATTCAGTTTCTAGCTCTTACTATAAGCCACCTGTTGCTCATGCTCCAGCTCCCCCTCCTCCATCCGTTAGCTCCAAGTCATCTAATAATACTGCGGGATCATTTCGTCGCAATGTCAGGCCCAGTCCGACGAATCCTCGATCTAAGGGTACCACTCAAACCTCTGGTAACGTTTCTGCTTTCTCATTCACATTTCATGTTCTCTTGTTTTCTTAAACCATTTTGAGTTATATACATTTGAATAGTGATTTTTAGTTCGACATTTTTACCATGATGTTGCAAGCTTGTGGAACAAATGTACTTATATTTAATCTTTCATTCTTCACGTTTTATGGCAACAAGAGTGATGGTGAAAAATTTGTTAAGAGCAAAGTATTGGTTTGAAGCAATACTATCCATAAATCGTTAATAAACGTAAGGAATAAGAAAACAGTGCAAATACAGTAATTGTAGATATAACGCCCTCTAAATTTTTACCATTGTATCTTATGAAAAATTGGAATTTTAATGAACTATTGTCGTCCTCTGGTTTGTAAGCGTATTATGTTTCACCTCAATTTAAACTAGAATAAACCCTGGAGGTAGGGGATAATTGGATATCACCAAGTCATTTCGCAATAATATGAATAAGTAGTTTTCACTTTCATTCACAATGTTCAATTGGGGTTGCTGGGAAATCCTTTGTTTATTTCTCAAGCCTCATAAAAACATTATGCCTAAACGCTTATTTATAGTTATTGTTTAAGTTTTGTACTAAGTTTTCCGCATCGTTTGACAATCTATTCAACTGGGTGGTAGAAAGTAGCCATTTATCTCAAACAAATCTTGCCTTTGGGTTATTTATAGTTTATTTTATTGACTTTATTTAGCAAATAATCGTCGTGTCAAATCTGGATCTCAACCTACTGGGGATGCTACTACCACTGCTAACAATAACAATGAAGAGAAATTTGATGCTAGTGGATACGACAAAGATCTTGTGGAAACACTAGAACGCGATATTGTTCAACGTAATCCAAATGTTCGATGGGATGATATAGCTGCATTAGATGATGCAAAACGTTTACTTCAAGAAGCTGTAGTTCTCCCAATGGTTATTCCGGGTTTCTTTAAAGGAATACGTAGACCATGGAAAGTAAGTTGTTTGGTGTGTTTTCTAATACATCACCATCCCCCACATATATAGCATAGTTCAAAGTTGACTATGCGAATCATAATGGAATATAATGTAATAACTTGCAAGTGGTGATTTGATTTATGTTATTAATGAGCGGCATCATTTAAATTGACTTTTATCTTTATCTTTAACGAAAACTATTGTTTTATTGGATTTCTGCATCTTAATGTTTGTATTTTCGTTTCTCATTTCCTTTTAGGGGGTATTAATGGTTGGTCCGCCTGGTACGGGCAAAACATTATTAGCTAAAGCTGTTGCAACAGAATGTGGCACCACATTTTTCAATGTTTCCAGTTCTAGTCTAACAAGTAAATGGAGAGGTGAATCAGAAAAATTAGTCCGTCTTTTATTTGATATGGCACGTTTCTACGCACCAAGCACAATATTCATGGATGAAATCGATTCAATCTGTTCTCGACGTGGTGGTGAATCAGAACATGAAAGTTCTCGGCGTGTTAAATCTGAACTTTTAGTGCAAATGGATGGTATGCTTTGATTTGATTGACAGGAAAATCTTCTAAGTTTTTTTTCCAATTCTCAAAGGATTTAAATTTGTGTTTAACCCTTTCAAATAACTAGTAGTTTGTAAATAATGAATATGATGGTTGGTTATATTTTCTGGACTCAATTTACACGTCTTGATTACGTTGGCGTATGCACTTAATTTGCTTTTGTCCGAATTCCATCATATTTTATTTCGAGTTGCCCCATGCTTCTTAGCTCGTATGCAGAATAACTTAAATTTCGAAGAGCTTCTTTTAAAGTTATGCTATTAAAAAGATTAAACCACGTACAAATATTTTAGCAGACGTTTACGTTTTGTCCAAATTCACGGTACTTAGTTAAAATTCTTGTATTATGCAATCAATAATAACTAAATATGTGGAAAGTATACTGAACTTATTTCCTAAAATCTGAAGTGGGGAGTAACCGATAACGACTGAAACAGGATCCTTATGTGATCTTTTGTGTTTGTTGTGAATCCAAAAGACTTTTATTTAAATGATTTACGTTTATTTTGTCACTTAATGTGTAAATGTAAGTTAACATAATAAACGATCCAAAACACAACTCTCTTTGGTATCAACTAACGTTTTCGTGTACTATATATAGTTCGTGGGATCATAAGGTCACTAGTCTGACATAATCCTTATCTTAGTATAAGTCTGTTACTTTATATTGCGAATATTCCCTTATAAATTATGATTATTTTATATTGCCAATAATGTTTGATATTGAATACCAGTTGTTACAATTTCTTCTATTACGACTAAGCTGCTGCTATTGCTTAGTATTCTCGGACATTATTTCACTCGACAAGTCTCCAAATCAGAACATGGTTGAACAGGAACGTAATTATACTCCAAATAAAAATGTTGGATGAAAATAGGAATCACAATAAAAAACGTTAGAATATTTGTGATTTTCACACAAGAAGATTCTAGAGTATCCACCATCGCTGATTGCTTAAGAAATAGACAATAGCGTGCCCCGATATAGTCCTGCGCGGAACATGCTTCAGCCCAATCTCCATCTCGTTAACACCAGTGTTTGTTGAAATCGAAGTGTGGAGCACTGCAATATTCGTTCTTCAACACTAATGGCAATTATAACAGTAATTGTATTCTAAAACCATATATAGAATATCTTACGACTACTTAGAAATTAATGTATCGACGCTGAGATAGTCGAGATAAATTTAGCCATCTTAGTGTTAGTAAATGGTTGTCATTCATCGAAGCTATCGCTTTTAAATTTTAATCACTAAGCTTTGAACCCATATAGAAGTTAAAAATTTCATTTTAACCAATTTTGTTGTCTTCAGGCGCTTAATCTCATTTCTCATGATAGTTATATAAATGAGCATATATTTGTTGTATTACTTTAAGTATTTCCTGTACTTAAAGTTATCTTTACTTCTCAAGGAGTAACAGGAGCTACAGGACAAGAAGAGGATCCTACAAAATCTGTTATGGTTCTTGCTGCTACGAATTTCCCTTGGGACATTGACGAGGCTTTGCGTAGACGTCTTGAGAAACGAGTGTACATACCTCTTCCAAATGGTATGATATTTGTGTGAAGTATTTACCTTACAATATTAGGTTTTTCGAATTTATGTGGAATTTCGCGGGTAATTCATTTTCACCATTCTTTACAACTTGTCCAGGCTCTGTTTAGAGTCTTTTACATTAGATTGCATTTATTTCTATCTATATTCACTTTTTCCCATTCTACCTATCTTCTAGACTTTGACATGTTATCCAATGTTCTGACAGTTTATATTTTTATCAACTGAATATTGTCCTATCACTTGTGATCATCTTACAATGAATCTGTTCTAACAGTATGATGTTCGCGCTAAATTAATACATACCTTGTCATTTTCAAATGTTTCAAAGTGATACTTTCTAAAAGCTAATCTTATTGAAATCGATATAAATGGGAAAGCAAACAAATGTTATGCACAGGTATATTTCAAGTGTATTATGTGACATTTTGAAAAGGCTCAACCTTTGGTAAATCCCATTTTCTAAAATATCTTGGCAATGACATTGGGATGCCATACCCTAAGGTGGAATGTGCAGTTTTAAATGTTCGATAATTACATGTCAACAAATCTGAAAATAGTAGTCATTCTAATAGTTCTGTTCTATTAAGTTATATAAAGTGAAAGTTTGTGTATGTAATCTTGATCATAAAGACTTAAACTTAACATCTACATATACTTGGGAATTGCCTTCATCATCAACCACAAAGCTATTGAAAGCCAAGGTTCATTGTACAGGTGTTTTAGATCAATCTGATTTAATTCAACAGTTATACTTGGTCCATTAAAAAGTCTATCTCGTGAACTGCTAATCTCATCCTGAACATGTTGCTATCTACTCAATAAGCAATGAGTACTTTATACGAATTAATGGTATCTATATCAACTGCTATATTAAAATACATGACTTTAAAATTGACATACAGTTCGTTTCTGTGTTTGTTACTTTTCAGTAAATCTATTGACTAAGTATTTTACAAACTGTTTGATCAATAGTTACAGTAATCATAATAGTAAAAATATATTGTCATAAATGATTATCTTCCAAATGCTCTGGTACAGTTGAGGGTGGGGAGAGTTCTCTCTCCCTCTTGATATGCTCTTACACGATCATGCATATACAGCCACTACCAGGGAAGTCCTACTCACTACCTTCTCGCGGCATTATTGTCGTTTGCGCATTTTAGAGGACGAAAAGCGAATATCCGGCACTTTAACAAGGTTGGTGGATATGTAAGACCCACCTAACGGACTTAGAAAACCCTGGTTCCAAACCAATGGTGTACATGGGCTCCAACATCCTGAGAGAACAAATGGCGTATGAACCAATTATTTGTCAGCGGTTACCATGGGATTGCATCTCCTGACATTGCTCCACTGCCTTGTGGATCAGACCTTTAGGTCGAAAGCTCCTGGTGGGGCTCCCCAAGAAAAACTACCTGCTTCGGTCTGGGTGCCTGGGCAGTATCATAACCCTCACACAAATCAATGATAACTGCTACTAACCTGATTGTTATTATGTGTCGCGTATGTATTTGATATCCCCGTGTACCAATATTTCTGCGTTCAAGTAAATAAATAAATTTACGAGCATTGTAAATTGAGTAAAAATAATGTGGTAACAAATAATTCGAGTTAATATGAATATTTTTGATGGAGTTGGTAATAGTATCAGGTATAAGATGTATAAAAAATACATGATTCCAGTTGATATCGTTTTCTAGTACAGAATTACTGACAGAATAGACGTGTTATGGTCATAGATCCTGTATATATAAAGTTGTTATTATTAAGTAATGCATGATAAAAGTGGTCAGATACGTCAAAAAGCCTAGATAACTATGACCTTATATGTGTTTTCTAATGGTAGATATCACATTTGTACCATGGAAAGTGTATTAAACACTTTAATCACTGAAGTTCATTTCGGTTTTCCACATCCCATTTATTATTGAATGGTACTGATTATCACCGTGTAAAGTTGTAATTGGTTAAGAGCCTACAACGTTTAGTTTCTTGAAGTGAACCACGTTATTTAATTGACATTTGTTGAATAGGAGAAATGACGAGAATCATCTAATCGTACATTAGTTATTTAAATGATTTTATACTTTTGAACTGCTATGTTTTGTTTATTCAACAGAATTCATAAAAATAAATCTCATTGACTCAATGATTTGTTGAGATTCTTCCTAATCTATGTCGTCTTGGTTTTGATTTACCTTAGTGACTGCACGCAAAACTCTGCTGCAAATCAACTTGAAAGACGTTCCTTTAGCAGAAGATGTAGATTTAGACAGTATAGCTGAACAATTAGATGGTTATTCCGGTGCGGACATAACGAATGTATGCAGGTATATAAATAGTTACAATTTTTGTTTATTTGTTACTTCTGAATTTCAAAGATAATATCACCAATAATTTATAATTGACTATAGGTGTATGGTTTAATTTTAAGTTATTTTGTTATCTTTAGCTATAAAGTGAAGGGGAATGGTCATATTTTAATTTGTCTTAGCTTGAAACTCAACAGTACACACTCCAAACGTTTTCCACATTCCGAACTGAGAAGGTTAAATCGTGTAACAAATGAAACCAAATAACAAAACTCATTAATGAAATAGAGATATACTGTTGTTTTGCTCTCATTTAAAATTCATCAGCATTACATGCCATCGAAACAAAGACCAAAAGCATTCCTTTGAGCTATATATCTTCAGCATCAACACAGGATCGTTCCTAACAATTTCAATTTTCACAGTGAATACAGTGTTATTGATTTATTGGTTTGGAATCATGTGGTTATCATTTTCATCTTGAGTTGTTTTGCGGTTTCGAGAGACCGTTCTCGGATACTATACGTTCTACTTGGTCGACTCCTTAGCTCACGATTTCTCGCTAAAACTCTGAGCAACTTACTCTTGAGAACATGATTTTTTTATAGAGGTATTTTTTGAAGGTTCGAAAACAAGATTCTCAGACAGAGTTAAAAGAAAAGCAGCAACCTATCTTTAATGTTTGCAACAGTGATTACACTATATTGTTAATCCATAGAAGTTATGAGGGATTTTTATTGGATGCCGAGTTCGCGGCTGAATGATATCACTTTTACCATCGGACATGAAGTTTCTAGGTTCGGTCGCATAAAGCATAATTGGTGCGCGTTTCAAACTAAGATAAAAGAAATACCCCTTGCTTCTCAACTTGACTTCAGTCCGTGAGGTAAAGTATATTCGAGACAAATAAACATATGTGGATAAACAAAGTCTCCTGAAAGCGTTGCGTCAAGATTCATGAATCTGAAAATCGTTAGATAATAAATTTCGTGCATTTCGTTGACTTTTAATTCCAGTCTCCGTTTCTATGTTATCTATTTATGTTACCTTCAAACAAAAACATTTTGTGACTATTGTCAAAAAAGGTGAAAGTTTGCACTTCTAATTCTGGGTGCATGGAATGCGGTATTAGAACCTTGTCTTCTGTGTTGTTTAGTTTGTTGGACTGAAGACTGGAGATAGAGTACGGTACTGATATCGGTTTCAATCTATTATGTGGAGGATTTGATGAGTTCTTCAGTTACTTCCTATGTACAACTAGGTACTTTCGTCACACATAACTTTCAACTGTGAACTCATGGTATGCGTTGGTTCCGTCTATCATATTTTAAAGAATAGATGGGGTCGTTCACAACCTATTCCATGAGCCTGAATATAGTTACTATATTGTCTACTCAACCCTAACACTGATTGAGAAACTTACTGTTTTCCCAGTTAACATATCAAGTGTATTGTGAACAGGAATCAATGAAAAGCTTTGAACTGAAAGTTTTTATCTGTTATCAATCACTGCTATAGTGTAGTTTTACAATAGAGGGAACACGCGTTTGTGCATGTCATAACCTACCTCAGTTGTCATCACAAACAAATCAACTATAACTTAGTTCTGCTCGTTGTACCTGACCGTTTTTTCCACTAACTGGTAATTCTGAGTCACTAGTTCTTGTCCTTTTAAAATTCAAATTCGTTTTATTAATTCTCACTCGTCATTGTTAGAATTTTGTAAATGTCATATTTGTTGCAATTTTCAAGTTAATGTATAAGTAATATTTTCCTACTCACATAATATCCCGCCCGATTTTATAGTGATATATTTTTGATTATCCTAGAGATGCTTCAATGATGTCTATGCGACGAGCTATAGAAGGACTCTCAGTAGAGCAAATCAAAGGTCTTAATACTGCTACACTTAATCAGCCGACACGAATGGCTGATTTCGAAGAAGCAGTCGGTCGTGTGTGCAGATCTGTTTCAGCCAGTGATGTTGAACGGTATGAGAAATGGATGACAGAGTTTGGGGCTACATGAACTGCTGATTTACGTTTACCGATGTGGACTTATACCATTCGCACATATTTGATTGGCTTATCCAGGTTTTTACCTTGCAAATAAATGTACTTGATTGTCATATCTCAAACCTACGTATCTCAAATCATCAGATTATATGGATACTACATTCATGGCTCAAATGACTGAATAACTGAATCCAGCCTTCCAATTAATTGCGCTTTGCAATTGAGGAAAAAATACATCAATTGCCATGTTTTCTTGTTGGTTTACACTCGAACGTGTTGGTTCTCCTCTATGCTCCCTACCCGTGATGGATATTTTTTCACTTTACACTAGGTATAATGTTTTTGATTTGATAAATCTTGTATGTCTTTCAGTTGTCCAGAAATAGGCTAATACAATCTTTGTTGATAACTGTATGGGTATTTATTAGCCACATATTCGTTCTATAGAACTCCCCAGTGGATTTATTCTATTGACTGTTTAATTGAGAACCTGTGAAAAATTCCGACTGGGAACGGGAAAGCGATAGTCGATTCTGTAATTTCCCTTTCTAATTAGATAACTCCTTATGAGTTGTAAATCGATTGCGTATCATCGTTGTAATTGCAAATGTAATCATTCAACACAATTTCAACGAACATTTTCCACATGGATTTCACTTTAAGACTAGAAATCTTTTGATCAGCTGCCAATGTAACTGTACTTTTCGGTCATTCTGCAATACCTTAATATTCATTCTACAATCTAGCAAACAAAAACTATGTATTCCTGAAAGTGTCGGATTCAGTCATATGAAGGGGTGCCACATTAGTTTTTAATGGTGATTATTCGTTAGTGAACAATAAATATCATCACTCAACTTCAATTATGCAGTGATCATTACACTTCTCATTAGGGCTGTGAGAGTAGACATACAAAGCTAAAACGTATTGGACAAAATCATCATGACGAATAGTAAGGAGGTGAAGCGATGTTAAGAAATTATTAGGAAACAAAGCAAAGTATGGAGTAGGATGCAGATTTGAAGGAAAATAACAACATGCTTGCCATTGCAGTTAATCTTAAGGCTTATTGTCAAACGTTACTGATTGTCGATTGTTTTACGTAAGGCCACAAAACTGAAAATAACAGAGAATTGTGACATTTCGATGTGACTACTTCGAGGCTGCTCTCCTACTTCAGACATGTATATATAATTTGAAGCTACTTTTGGTGGATTCTCATTTTTATAGCTTGTTGAAAGTGTATGATTTTATTTGGAGGACAAAGACGAAGAGACTGGTTGGTGTGGGAAACCATACGTTAGTGTATTCTGTGGTGTTCGTGCTAAGTAATAAATGTTTTGTAAATCGTTACGCGTCTGTTTGGAATTACGAGGTTATACCTTCAATTCTGCTCACTGTATTCTCTATTACTTGAGTGTTGGTGGATTTGTGATCACTAGATTACGTATTGGACAGTTCTAGGAATTACCAGTTCATATTACCGAATTCGGTACTACTGCATCTACTCATCACAGTTTTTGTACTTAAAAGTTTAACCATTGAGACAGTGAAATAATATTGAACATGCAGCTCACAATAAAGTGGAAAACATGTACAGACCTCGTTGTAATAGTCATTCACTCAAGATTTCGAATCATGTGTACCGTATGCGTTTGAAGTAAATTTTTCTGACTCACCCAGATCGGGAAATTCGACTGGATGTAACACCAACTGTGTCACGACTATAATCGATTTGACATTCTTCAAGAGAGAATTATTACTATGGAAGATTCTACTTAATGTGAGTATAACTTTAATAAAACAGTGGATTAGACAGAATAATTAACGTTACATAAAAGCAAAAAGTGTACAGGCATTAAAAATGTATATTTAAAATTCAATAGTCAATAAAATGTCTGTAGTTACTTCGTGTTAGTTATTTTTAAGAAATAAGTTTATGAACTATCTAGGAATTTCTGGTACATGTGTTTAGTGACCACCGTGATCTTTTCCAGATCCTGGTTTATGACAACCAGTTCCACAATGTTGTGGCTTGTCATGAGATCCATGACCAGCACCCTCTTTGTCGTGGCAGTCTTTCACACAGTGTTCAGACGATTTGCAATGCTCTTTGTTGTCATGACCATGACCGGCTTCTTCATGATGTTCGTGATGATGTTCAGCTGAAGTGAAGAATATGAAGAAATCCAATTAATCAAGTCTACTGTGTGGATGAGCCATCCATTTGATTTTTTGGGTGTGAGTTAAAAACAGAAAATCGGCCCTTTATAATTAAAGATCAGTCATGGCTTAGCGCATACTCATTTGGTAATAAATATTTTATTTTTGAATAATTATGTTTACTAATGTTCGTACGTCACTGCATTATGCTTGAAGCACAAATTCAGTAAAACGCACGAACGGAAATAAACGTTAACCCAAACCCACACATAAACCTGAAACCTTAAGCAACAGTCAAGATTGTTTGTCATGTCATATTGATAGTCATGCCTAGGTACATTAATGGTTCGTGTTGTCAAGAAATTAACCACTGACATTGATTGTGAATATAATCTGTTGAAAGCATTTTATACTAAGATAATGTGAAGTCATTATTTATAGACGTCAATAATTAGGCTTTGTGTAATGTGTGAACTTAAACTATGTGGTTTACAAGAGGGACATCTATAAGTTTTGATATGATTGTTTAACACATGAGCTGAATATATGACGCTCCAATGGAACAGTAGTAGACATGGTGATCACTAGGCATTGCTAGCATTCTAATTGTTAGTTGGTTTCTGCACACTATTCTTGTAAAGCAATTTGGAATGTGGTGACTGCTTGCAAATATCTAACGCACATTTTGTGGTTCATTCTAGACAACACTAGAGGTCAATGAAGATAACTGTATACTCCAGAACTGGGTGATGCTGGTACAAGTGTTCTGAACGTTGTACTCAAATGATGTACGTTAACCACACGTTTGGTTAATAGATCCAAAGACGGCAGTATGAAGGACGAGTAGTTTATTTGGCTATACCTGGAGGTGGGTGAGTGTGAGACTAGTACTAGACTGGATATCGAGTGTATGAAAGAGGCATCCCTCATGAGTGGTGACACAATAAATGGAACTTTGACCGTGAGCTCTTAGCTAGTTTAGTAAGGTGAGCAGATGTGTCTAAAACATACTGAACTGCAGAATCCGATGAGTTGTTTAGATAGATTAGTTTAGCAATCAAATGGTTAAAGAGTTCAGTTCATCCATGAGGAACCATAGGTGGTGACTGCACATGGATAATACAATTTCGGTGTGCAGAAGATGTAGCCTTTTCAAATGACTCTCACCACTTCGATAAATAATAACTGTCGAAATCTTTTGCTTAGTTACTATCATATACTGTGTATTAGGGGATCAATTCCTTTAGTTAACTTACAAACATTACGTATCGTATAATGGAAGTGATTAGCTGAAAGTCTTGCGTGTAGAACTAGTGCTTTATTAGAATTCACTGGGAAGTGTATTTGCATCTCAGAAATAGCACACCTCGAATATTTTGAAGTGCATCGTTGAATTATCGAAGGAGTTTATCTCTGGGCAATATAGATTCGAGCTTTGTAAAACGGAATTCATACTACAGATTTTCTCGGTTAAAGTGTCAGGCGTTTGAAGTAATGCTTGGTAAAATTATATTTCAATGGAAATGTCAACAATTTGTCGGGTGCATATATCCGTCTTCAGGAGAATACAAAAGTGTGCACTATCCACCTCTGAATATTGACACGAAATCTTCACAAGCACTTATCATGTGAAATATGACGTGATAAGTAAAACCCATCTTCGTTGTTAGCCATAGTAATGAGTGAAACTAGTGGTTAGTGCAGTGACTCCTGTCAATGAAGATACTTCTGCATAAATGCGTTTGGCTGAAACCGTATGAAGAGTTTTTGTGTCTGGAGAGGCAAGTTTATGGCAATCAAAGTGGTCAGTGTCAAGAAAGCTTATGTGATATGTGATGAACCAAACCTGTTATGTAATTACGTATTATTTTGATATAGAATAAGATTTGGACTTAAAACTACATTGAATGTTGTTAAGTCAATATTTGGCTCTGAAATGAGCCACCATTGCTTATGGATTCCATCTGTGATCAATAATTCACCCGTTTTCTTAATAACATAAAAATAGTTTTTGGTTGAATAAATTTGTGAAAGAAACAGATATAGTTTACTGCAAAGTCAAATGTTAGACGAAATTGTTGAATATAATGAGTGTATTTAACGTGATGAAGACTTTGCAACAGTACTTATTTACCGGGTATAAACAACAGCAAACTGCTGGTTTTGCATGTGCTAGTAGATTTTGATGATTAAATAGATACAACCAAATCATCCAAATGCATAATACTACTTCAACCTCACTCAATGGTATGACATGTCGTTGATACTCGATCCAGATATTTCGACTACTAACGTGCTAAATCTCTACCAGTTCATCATTCAAAACTAACCATCTGCAAATGCCATGTGTTACGACCACTGGAAATCAATTCTATATTTCCCAATACCGCGGTTTTACACTACACTGTTAGACAATTAGACTCAGTATACTAACAAACTTTATTACTACTCAGGTAACTCAGCATAATCATTACAATAGTATGAGTTAAAGCGTAATTTTAAAAAGGTATGGTTCACTTACCTCCATGAGAAGACATGGTTGATAATAACTGCTGTTTAGTTTACGAGTCACTTCATATTCTGCCCATGCACAGCTTCGTTTATATAATGGAAAATTTACTTCCGGTTTGATTAATTAATTACCCAATATCAATTGTTGTTATGTTGTGGTTGGTTAGATATCTGCAAATTGTTTCAATGAACTGACAGTTTATTCATATGTATCAACCATACAATTCATGAATTAATTATCATGTTTCATTTTATTGTATGCAAATATAAAATATTTGAAAGTGATTTCGTTTGAATAAACAATTTATATGTTGAATTTTTGAGTTTGACATTATTATGGTGACCTAAAATTAGTCCACAAACAAATTTTGTCCTGAAAATAAATAAGTGAATGTTCATATATTTTAATGTGTATTTCATTTCTCCATGTACGTAAAAACAAAATCCATTTCGGTTACAATCGTACAGTGAGATACTTGAGTGTAGATGTTTGTCATATTGCAAGAATCTCACCGATCCAATTTCAAGTATAACTAATTAATGAGCTTTAGTGTTTTGATAAGTCGAAGCTAGACAACATTTGAGATGGAAACTGAAATCAACGGTTTGATGATTTGGATTATTTCACGAGACAATCTGAGAGTGGTGTGTGAACTAATTGAACTTAAGCGATCCAGAAATCCCCATGGAATATTCCATAGCAAGGAACTTTGTTGTCTGATTTTAGTATTGCTGTAATCTAGTGAACACCCAGTTGTATTGAAGGGACTCATCGAGTACGCGAAGTATCGTGTGAAATTCGGTGAAGCGAAAACTGTTGGATTTTGTTCGTGATTACATTGTTATACATGGTTTTTTAAGCAGTGTTGTAAATCCCTTCGTCGGTGTAAGATTAAACGTAATGTTAGTTTGGTGAGAAGATATTTCTTGAGCCAAATTGAATCTCTTCAAACGCATATATGGTTGAGTTAGAAGCGAGTGTTACACAGAGATTACGTGCTAATGAATTTCTTTCCTCCTAAAATCCAGTGGATTCATCTGCGACCTATGTCCTAGATGTACAGCGAACCAGGGAAAATGAGAGAATCGACGGGGACAACGGACTAAACAACCAAATGTTCAAATCTGATTTTCCGTGCAACTTCTGTTGCAAGTAAGCATCGAACCGAGCTAGCTTCTAGGCTAGCCACCATCCCACTGAAAAGTATAGATAAGCATTGGTTGCAACTGCATGACGCCATGAAAATGGCGAGTTAATCCGCTCGCGGCTTCATGAAACGTCCCGCTTATAAGCACTGAGTTTCTTCAGACTCCTTACAACTCATCGAAGCCCGTCGGTCTACTCCGGGTGACCGTGAGTTTGACCACAAACGAAGGCTGTTACGTAATGAAACCTGGCAAAGCTTGTGTAAGGACCGAGAAGCCTAGTGGTCGGAGCGTGCTAATGAGCTGGAAGCAGCAGCTGCATCTGGTAACTACCGGAAGCTCTTTCAACTCATCCGAGCCACTTGCAGCAAGAAGTCTGGTGTGAGCGAAACAATCTGCGGGGTTGACGGGATGCCAATCACTATCATCATCCATTGACTTTCTGGTTAAGGAACTGACAACGTTGTTTACAAAGCTCTGGGAGCTGGATAGTGTTCCAACATCATGGAACGAGTCAATAGTTGTCCCTATCTTTAAGAAAGGTTCACGTTCTTTCTGTAGCAACTATCGGGGGATAATTCTACTTTCGATTGCGTCCAAACTGTTGGCTTCCGTCATACTTCATAGGTTGTTCAAAAACCGAGAAAGATTGACTCGCGGGGAGCTGGCTGGTTTTCGTTCTGGTCGAGGATGTATTGATCATATATTCACCCTCCGTCAAATGTTAGAACACCGTCATACTTATCACAGGCCAACAATCGCAGTGTTTTTGACACCAAGACTGCCTTCGACTTGTTAGACAGGACTGCTCTCTGGGATTATCTATTGAAGAAGGGTATGCCTGAGAAGTTTATTAACACCATAAAGGTCCTATATACAAACACCTCAAGTAGAGTGAGGGCATACAACCACCTTTCTCCACTGTTCCATTCAAGCAGTATGGTTAGACAGGGTTGTCCAATCTCACCATTCTTCTTCAACTTTTCCATCGATGACATTCTGGAAATAGCTCTGATGGTTGTAAGTAATGGCGGTGTGGAAAAAGGCTTCTCGAACTTGAGCATGCGGATGATATTATCTTACTGTGCGATAATACCCAAGCCATGGAATCCGCACTTAATCAGTTGGCAATCAGTGTCCATAGGTACGGTATGTGCTTTGCACCTTTGAAGTGAAAAGTACTTCTATAAGACTGGCAGGATTCTAATCCCGTACTCACCCTTGTTGGTGAGCAGATAGAAGTGGTCGAGAAGTTCGTGAATCTGGGTAGCTGTGTGAGTGCTGGTGTTGGCGTGAGTGATGAGATCAATGCACGTATAGTGAAAGCCAGAATGGCTTATGCCAATCTGGACCATCTTTGATGCTTCGTAATGTCAGTCTGAGTGTAACAGGTCGCATCTAGAATGCGTCGGTTAGGGCAGTTTTGCTCTACGCTTGTGCAACATGGCTTCTCCGAGTTGAGGACGTTATACGACTCTCTGTGTTTGATCATCATTGTCTCCGAAGGATCGTTGACATCCAGTGGCAACACCATGTTATTAATGCAGAGGTTCGGCATCGTGTGTTTGGGCGAAGAGACGATAATCTAATTGGTGTCACCATCTTGAAACATCGACTTCGGTGGCTTGGACATGTTCTACGAATGTCGTCACAGGGAATTCCACGTCGTGCATTATTTGCCAACTCTGGGACTGGTTGGAAAAAGCGTAGAGGTGGTCAGTGTATGACATGATGTCAGGGTATGAAAGAAATCCGCAAAGTGCTGGTTCCTGTCTGTCCTTCACAACTCCCTGGCTGGGGTCTGAGAGATGGTGCAACACAGTGGGTAGAGACGTTATCAGATATGGCTCAGAATAGAAACCGGTGGCGATACTGCTGTAACTTTCTTTTACTTTCTTCATAAAATTTATTGTAACTTCTATAACTGAAAGAAATCTTTCTGGTTGTACCTTTCCGTTTCCCCCATTATTATTATTATTATTATTATTATTATTATTATTATTATTATTATTATTATTATTATTATTATTGTACCACCATACACTAATCTGTGGTCGTAATTGTTCTCTTTTTTTCTTATACGCACCTTACGTTATTTTTCGCTCCCCATTCTCATCGTTTTGTGTGGCGCATATATATCTGGTGCCCCCTTGTGCCAATATTTATGTGTTTAAATGAATAAATAAATAAATAACCGGAATGATTTTAGCTTCTTTTGCAAATCTCGACGGGACTCAACTAGACATTTGTTTATGAAGTTTAATTCTGTAATTGTATTCTTATAGGTGTTTGGTGTTTTCTTCAAGATGTTTACCTTATATTGTTGTGAGTTTTACTGAATATAACCTCTTTATTAAAGAGGAGGAATGTACTTGTAAAATCTCAGCGAATGAACTTTGAAGTAAATCCAACTTTTCGCCTGACAATCTAGTCTAAGCTTTTCAAGGAAATACCTCTTTATTCTTATCATTCTTTCTAATGTTCTTATTTTTGTGTTGCGTGCTATCTTGGAGTTCGCCTTCTTTACTGCCCTTTCTAATACGCTTTCTTGTAATTTATACTACGGTAGTCAAACTCTCTGCATTTAGGTGTATAATCTTCACTGATGATAGCATTTTGAATGCTAGGATAGATTGCTTCCGCTTTGTTCTCAGATATTTATGAAACACTTACTCAGCTATTCATACTATTCAATATGTATATCATTTCTGAATTTCATGTCTTTAGTTTTTTAAATATTTTATCATCTTTGGATAGTGTTATTTGGACTGCTTTATATTATTTCATTTTCCATTTGTTTGGATTTTGCCTCTGGCGTACCAAATAAGAATAGATCTTCATTGATTCAACGCTATTATGTTTCACTTTTTGAACGCATCCACTTCCATTTTTGTTTGATTTCTTTTAGTGACATTTACCTCTTCCGGTGTTTCCAGTCAATGAATTATCGTATTTTCTTTATGAGCTATGAGTATTTTGTTAGCTTGATTTTATTTAAAGAATAGGTTGGTGAAATCCAGTTTTCTGAAAATTGTGATTAGCACTACAAGAATGATATGAATAAGTTTCACCCGAAAGGCTTTTCTGCGTCAGTGTTTAGTCTCCCTACATTGATTAAGGTAGTTTAGAGTGTATATTTCTTCAGTCATTTTGGTTGTCTTTTTATCACTAGTGAGTAAGTTACTGATGAGATTGAGGCAAGGTACGGAGTGGTTACATGAATTTTTTTATTCGCACAATTCGTTCACAATCGAGAGTTTCCTATACTTCCGATTCTAGATATGTCAAACACACCATAACAGTAAACAGTGCGAAAGTTGGTGAAATTACAGAAATAATTACACCGAAACTTCATGAAATATACCGTTAAAGACGTTTATAATTTGTAGATGTAGTAAAAAATGTGAATATCACCGACAAAACTATGTTTTCTCCGCACATTATATATAGCTTCAGGGATATTCCACTGACAGAAACCATCGATTACACATGCGAACAGCTTTTAAGAAATAATTCAAGGCTACTTATGCCGACAATGAAAATATAGAAGCTTCCGGTCATATGCATCACGGATACCCAATTCATGTCTAATAACGAATTTGTAGAGAAATAAATGGAGAAGCGTTGAGATCTTCACTAGATTCAATACTCGTTGATGATTTTTCTCCTTTCCAGAGAGATGGGACGTTATGTGAAATGTGGTTTATTCACAATATCTGAGGCAGCCAATGTACCCACTTCCATAGCTTCACACCTCTTCAGTACAAGATAAATGTGGTCAAGTGTCTCAGCCATAGAGTCAGACTATTGTTTTGAGGATAGTGTAGATGATGAGATGGATAAAGTAACGGCTACACAACGAAATAACGGCTACCGCTATAACGGGACGAGTACTAGAGAAATTGGTTTTTTGAGCTATTTCGCAGATCCATGTATGCGAAATAACAACCTCTGGGTGAGTAGAATACAGTAATAAGACCTAACATGATATGTTCCCTTGTTTCCGGAACTAAAAACTGGAGATAGAATATAAATGCCTATGTAACTCAGTTCATTTGTTGAAGACTTCATGAACTGATATCACGTTTTCTTTAATCTCTTCCTGATCTTCCGCAAAATACAACACTATCCAACATCGGTCGTTGAAGTGGAGGGTGAATGAATATACGTAATGCATGTTTCCACCCGCTCAGTCGATGAAGATCTAAAGACTCGTCAACCGATTTGGCACTTTTACTCATTATTTTTTATCTAACCTCATCATTGTTTGTTCGATAGTCCCAACATACGCTATAAGTGGAGCAAGTATGCAAAAAGCAGTCGAGTTGTCTGGATCCGTCCCAAGATTCCATCAAACACTAATCTGTCAGGAGTTACGAAACTTCTCAGGTAGATGAAGTGGTCGACTACCTTAGATTCCATAGTTAGTTTAGGCTCTGACACTTACCAGTTCTAAAACAACACTTTGTATTTGGATGGGCATAACCGCATCACAAACATGTGTACGTTTGTTCCTCAAGGCGATCAGAAGATTGCATTTTATCACCATTCTCGCCAAACAGAACTCTATCATCTGAATATTCGAAGTCAATAAGTGATTCTCCTCGTAAGAGATCGACTCCTTCAAAGTTAGACGGTGAGTGTGTTATCTCCAGCAGAACATCTATTTCAGAGTAAAAACTATAGAGCCTTGGCAAACCTCATGGATTCCTATCATTTCTGACTTCAACTTTTGTATGTAGACGACGATTTTATTTCGTCCTAAGGTTGATAGGTAAAGTGTGTACCATTTCTTTTGTGAGTCAGTTTTCGAGACTGTCAGTTGGTGATGCTTTGATCTAGTGGTAAAAGTAATGGACATTAAACCATTGGATCATAAATTATAATCAAGCTCAGTATCCAGTTGAAAAGTAGAAGCATTTTAAGTTATGCTGTTGTTTTTTTTCAGTCACCAATTGTCCTGTAATTTGTGACATCCGGTGAGATGACAGTCATAAACACTGCCTACTATTAAATACCCAAGTTAATTAGATTATTATAGTCAGACAAACCAAACATGCAATTATTGTGAGTCCTAGATCCTAGATTTTACATAGTTGAGTACAGTTATATGGAGAATAACTTGGATTGATAGAAAGTCTAATTCACAATCGAAATTAAACCCACAGACTCTCAATAATTTATTCATCTGAGATTCCTGAAATGAAGTTAAGAATTTCTATTGATAATAATAATAATCTAATACAGTGGTAAAATTTTCGAGATTCGTTTTAATATCTCCATGGTTTTAAACGATACTAAACGAATTATTCACACATTGTCCATCGTATTTACAGAATGTGAACCTTTGACTATCATTGTTTGTGAAAATTTGTTTTTTGGTTGATAATAATCAAGACTAAATTTGATTTGTCTATGATGAGATGCATAAGATCCTCGTACGATAACGATTTGATATTTGGAGAGAAGAGTACTAGGTTCATGCTTGATTATCATGAGAAGTGATATTTACAGTCTCAAATAGAATGAGACGCGTGATGATCTTACGAATGTTTGTCTGATATATATAACAATATTCGATTGCAACAAAAACTGAAAATTTCAACACAGATAGATTTTAATAGGTTAAGGCGACCCTTCCTCTAATCTATATCATCATCTTCAGTTAGTTTATAAAGGTCAATATCAATGAAATTCTTTTGAGATTTGAACACTTTCATTCTTTTGTGAACGATGAAAGCAGAAGACAATGAACTTTATTATTTAAACGAACGATTCACACTGTACACATGTAAATGAAGAATTAAAATTTTAGTTCGAGCCAGTTCGAAAAATTTTCTTCAATGCTCCAATATTGTTTTCTTTCAATGCGTTATGACACATGGTTATTACATTTGTTTTAAACTTTCCAACTGCAAAACATGATAATAAAAATTTCAAATAAATACAACATTGAATAGTTTATGAATTACAGACAGTTTTCATATATTAACTTAATTTATTTCACTATAAACATTTCGTAGCATAACATACTACTAATTATCAATAGTTATGATATGATGTGGAATATGTATCGGTCAACTTGAAAGATAAAATCGTTAATGAACTTTTATACACATCAATAATGATACTTAATCAACTAGTATTGTTACTGTCGAACTTATGCATGTATTCTTCGTGCCTGGAATGCGATATTAAAACCTTGTTTTCTGCGTTCTTTGGTTTATTGGACTGTTATTGTGTGTCACGTATGTATTTGATATCCCCGTGTACCAATATTTCTGCGTTCAAGTAAATAAATAAATTTACGAGCATTGTAAATTGAGTAAAAATAATGTGGTAACAAATAATTCGAGTTAATATGAATATTTTTGATGGAGTTGGTAATAGTATCAGGTATAAGATGTATAAAAAATACATGATTCCAGTTGATATCGTTTTCCAGTACAGAATTACTGACAGAATAGACGTGTTATGGTCATAGATCCTGTATATATAAAGTTGTTATTATTAAGTAATGCATGATAAAAGTGGTCAGATACGTCAAAAAGCCTAGATAACTATGACCTTATATGTGTTTTCTAATGGTAGATATCACATTTGTACCATGGAAAGTGTATTAAACACTTTAATCACTGAAGTTCATTTCGGTTTTCCACATCCCATTTATTATTGAATGGTACTGATTATCACCGTGTAAAGTTGTAATTGGTTAAGAGCCTACAACGTTTAGTTTCTTGAAGTGAACCACGTTATTTAATTGACATTTGTTGAATAGGAGAAATGACGAGAATCATCTAATCGTACATTAGTTATTTAAATGATTTTATACTTTTGAACTGCTATGTTTTGTTTATTCAACAGAATTCATAAAAATAAATCTCATTGACTCAATGATTTGTTGAGATTCTTCCTAATCTATGTCGTCTTGGTTTTGATTTACCTTAGTGACTGCACGCAAAACTCTGCTGCAAATCAACTTGAAAGACGTTCCTTTAGCAGAAGATGTAGATTTAGACAGTATAGCTGAACAATTAGATGGTTATTCCGGTGCGGACATAACGAATGTATGCAGGTATATAAATAGTTACAATTTTTGTTTATTTGTTACTTCTGAATTTCAAAGATAATATCACCAATAATTTATAATTGACTATAGGTGTATGGTTTAATTTTAAGTTATTTTGTTATCTTTAGCTATAAAGTGAAGGGGAATGGTCATATTTTAATTTGTCTTAGCTTGAAACTCAACAGTACACACTCCAAACGTTTTCCACATTCCGAACTGAGAAGGTTAAATCGTGTAACAAATGAAACCAAATAACAAAACTCATTAATGAAATAGAGATATACTGTTGTTTTGCTCTCATTTAAAATTCATCAGCATTACATGCCATCGAAACAAAGACCAAAAGCATTCCTTTGAGCTATATATCTTCAGCATCAACACAGGATCGTTCCTAACAATTTCAATTTTCACAGTGAATACAGTGTTATTGATTTATTGGTTTGGAATCATGTGGTTATCATTTTCATCTTGAGTTGTTTTGCGGTTTCGAGAGACCGTTCTCGGATACTATACGTTCTACTTGGTCGACTCCTTAGCTCACGATTTCTCGCTAAAACTCTGAGCAACTTACTCTTGAGAACATGATTTTTTTATAGAGGCATTTTTTGAAGGTTCGAAAACAAGATTCTCAGACAGAGTTAAAAGAAAAGCAGCAACCTATCTTTAATGTTTGCAACAGTGATTACACTATATTGTTAATCCATAGAAGTTATGAGGGATTTTTATTGGATGCCGAGTTCGCGGCTGAATGATATCACTTTTACCATCGGACATGAAGTTTCTAGGTTCGGTCGCATAAAGCATAATTGGTGCGCGTTTCAAACTAAGATAAAAGAAATACCCCTTGCTTCTCAACTTGACTTCAGTCCGTGAGGTAAAGTATATTCGAGACAAATAAACATATGTGGATAAACAAAGTCTCCTGAAAGCGTTGCGTCAAGATTCATGAATCTGAAAATCGTTAGATAATAAATTTCGTGCATTTCGTTGACTTTTAATTCCAGTCTCCGTTTCTATGTTATCTATTTATGTTACCTTCAAACAAAAACATTTTGTGACTATTGTCAAAAAAGGTGAAAGTTTGCACTTCTAATTCTGGGTGCATGGAATGCGGTATTAGAACCTTGTCTTCTGTGTTGTTTAGTTTGTTGGACTGAAGACTGGAGATAGAGTACGGTACTGATATCGGTTTCAATCTATTATGTGGAGGATTTGATGAGTTCTTCAGTTACTTCCTATGTACAACTAGGTACTTTCGTCACACATAACTTTCAACTGTGAACTCATGGTATGCGTTGGTTCCGTCTATCATATTTTAAAGAATAGATGGGGTCGTTCACAACCTATTCCATGAGCCTGAATATAGTTACTATATTGTCTACTCAACCCTAACACTTATTGAGAAACTTACTGTTTTCCCAGTTAACATATCAAGTGTATTGTGAACAGGAATCAATGAAAAGCTTTGAACTGAAAGTTTTTGTCTGTTATCAATCACTGCTATAGTGTAGTTTTACAATAGAGGGAACACGCGTTTGTGCATGTCATAACCTACCTCAGTTGTCATCACAAACAAATCAACTATAACTTAGTTCTGCTCGTTGTACCTGACCGTTTTTTCCACTAACTGGTAATTCTGAGTCACTAGTTCTTGTCCTTTTAAAATTCAAATTCGTTTTATTAATTCTCACTCGTCATTGTTAGAATTTTGTAAATGTCATATTTGTTGCAATTTTCAAGTTAGTGTATAAGTAATATTTCCCTACTCACATAATATCCCGCCCGATTTTATAGTGATATATTTTTGATTATCCTAGAGATGCTTCAATGATGTCTATGCGACGAGCTATAGAAGGACTCTCAGTAGAGCAAATCAAAGGTCTTAATACTGCTACACTTAATCAGCCGACACGAATGGCTGATTTCGAAGAAGCAGTCGGTCGTGTGTGCAGATCTGTTTCAGCCAGTGATGTTGAACGGTATGAGAAATGGATGACAGAGTTTGGGGCTACATGAACTGCTGATTTACGTTTACCGATGTGGACTTATACCATTCGCACATATTTGATTGGCTTATCCAGGTTTTTACCTTGCAAATAAATGTACTTGATTGTCATATCTCAAACCTACGTATCTCAAATCATCAGATTATATGGATACTACATTCATGGCTCAAATGACTGAATAACTGAATCCAGCCTTCCAATTAATTGCGCTTTGCAATTGAGGAAAAAATACATCAATTGCCATGTTTTCTTGTTGGTTTACACTCGAACGTGTTGGTTCTCCTCTATGCTCCCTACCCGTGATGGATATTTTTTCACTTTACACTAGGTATAATGTTTTTGATTTGATAAATCTTGTATGTCTTTCAGTTGTCCAGAAATAGGCTAATACAATCTTTGTTGATAACTGTATGGGTATTTATTAGCCACATATTCGTTCTATAGAACTCCCCAGTGGATTTATTCTATTGACTGTTTAATTGAGAACCTGTGAAAAATTCCGACTGGGAACGGGAAAGCGATAGTCGATTCTGTAATTTCCCTTTCTAATTAGATAACTCCTTATGAGTTGTAAATCGATTGCGTATCATCGTTGTAATTGCAAATGTAATCATTCAACACAATTTCAACGAACATTTTCCACATGGATTTCACTTTAAGACTAGAAATCTTTTGATCAGCTGCCAATGTAACTGTACTTTTCGGTCATTCTGCAATACCTTAATATTCATTCTACAATCTAGCAAACAAAAACTATGTATTCCTGAAAGTGTCGGATTCAGTCATATGAAGGGGTGCCACATTAGTTTTTAATGGTGATTATTCGTTAGTGAACAATAAATATCATCACTCAACTTCAATTATGCAGTGATCATTACACTTCTCATTAGGGCTGTGAGAGTAGACATACAAAGCTAAAACGTATTGGACAAAATCATCATGACGAATAGTAAGGAGGTGAAGCGATGTTAAGAAATTATTAGGAAACAAAGCAAAGTATGGAGTAGGATGCAGATTTGAAGGAAAATAACAACATGCTTGCCATTGCAGTTAATCTTAAGGCTTATTGTCAAACGTTACTGATTGTCGATTGTTTTACGTAAGGCCACAAAACTGAAAATAACAGAGAATTGTGACATTTCGATGTGACTACTTCGAGGCTGCTCTCCTACTTCAGACATGTATATATAATTTGAAGCTACTTTTGGTGGATTCTCATTTTTATAGCTTGTTGAAAGTGTATGATTTTATTTGGAGGACAAAGACGAAGAGACTGGTTGGTGTGGGAAACCATACGTTAGTGTATTCTGTGGTGTTCGTGCTAAGTAATAAATGTTTTGTAAATCGTTACGCGTCTGTTTGGAATTACGAGGTTATACCTTCAATTCTGCTCACTGTATTCTCTATTACTTGAGTGTTGGTGGATTTGTGATCACTAGATTACGTATTGGACAGTTCTAGGAATTACCAGTTCATATTACCGAATTCGGTACTACTGCATCTACTCATCACAGTTTTTGTACTTAAAAGTTTAACCATTGAGACAGTGAAATAATATTGAACATGCAGCTCACAATAAAGTGGAAAACATGTACAGACCTCGTTGTAATAGTCATTCACTCAAGATTTCGAATCATGTGTACCGTATGCGTTTGAAGTAAATTTTTCTGACTCACCCAGATCGGGAAATTCGACTGGATGTAACACCAACTGTGTCACGACTATAATCGATTTGACATTCTTCAAGAGAGAATTATTACTATGGAAGATTCTACTTAATGTGAGTATAACTTTAATAAAACAGTGGATTAGACAGAATAATTAACATTACATAAAAGCAAAAAGTGTACAGGCATTAAAAATGTATATTTAAAATTCAATAGTCAATAAAATGTCTGTAGTTACTTCGTGTTAGTTATTTTTAAGAAATAAGTTTATGAACTATCTAGGAATTTCTGGTACATGTGTTTAGTGACCACCGTGATCTTTTCCAGATCCTGGTTTATGACAACCAGTTCCACAATGTTGTGGCTTGTCATGAGATCCATGACCAGCACCCTCTTTGTCGTGGCAGTCTTTCACACAGTGTTCAGACGATTTGCAATGCTCTTTGTTGTCATGACCATGACCGGCTTCTTCATGATGTTCGTGATGATGTTCAGCTGAAGTGAAGAATATGAAGAAATCCAATTAATCAAGTCTACTGTGTGGATGAGCCATCCATTTGATTTTTTGGGTGTGAGTTAAAAACAGAAAATCGGCCCTTTATAATTAAAGATCAGTCATGGCTTAGCGCATACTCATTTGGTAATAAATATTTTATTTTTGAATAATTATGTTTACTAATGTTCGTACGTCACTGCATTATGCTTGAAGCACAAATTCAGTAAAACGCACGAACGGAAATAAACGTTAACCCAAACCCACACATAAACCTGAAACCTTAAGCAACAGTCAAGATTGTTTGTCATGTCATATTGATAGTCATGCCTAGGTACATTAATGGTTCGTGTTGTCAAGAAATTAACCACTGACATTGATTGTGAATATAATCTGTTGAAAGCATTTTATACTAAGATAATGTGAAGTCATTATTTATAGACGTCAATAATTAGGCTTTGTGTAATGTGTGAACTTAAACTATGTGGTTTACAAGAGGGACATCTATAAGTTTTGATATGATTGTTTAACACATGAGCTGAATATATGACGCTCCAGTGGAACAGTAGTAGACATGGTGATCACTAGGCATTGCTAGCATTCTAATTGTTAGTTGGTTTCTGCACACTATTCTTGTAAAGCAATTTGGAATGTGGTGACTGCTTGCAAATATCTAACGCACATTTTGTGGTTCATTCTAGACAACACTAGAGGTCAATGAAGATAACTGTATACTCCAGAACTGGGTGATGCTGGTACAAGTGTTCTGAACGTTGTACTCAAATGATGTACGTTAACCACACGTTTGGTTAATAGATCCAAAGACGGCAGTATGAAGGACGAGTAGTTTATTTGGCTATACCTGGAGGTGGGTGAGTGTGAGACTAGTACTAGACTGGATATCGAGTGTATGAAAGAGGCATCCCTCATGAGTGGTGACACAATAAATGGAACTTTGACCGTGAGCTCTTAGCTAGTTTAGTAAGGTGAGCAGATGTGTCTAAAACATACTGAACTGCAGAATCCGATGAGTTGTTTAGATAGATTAGTTTAGCAATCAAATGGTTAAAGAGTTCAGTTCATCCATGAGGAACCATAGGTGGTGACTGCACATGGATAATACAATTTCGGTGTGCAGAAGATGTAGCCTTTTCAAATGACTCTCACCACTTCGATAAATAATAACTGTCGAAATCTTTTGCTTAGTTACTATCATATACTGTGTATTAGGGGATCAATTCCTTTAGTTAACTTACAAACATTACGTATCGTATAATGGAAGTGATTAGCTGAAAGTCTTGCGTGTAGAACTAGTGCTTTATTAGAATTCACTGGGAAGTGTATTTGCATCTCAGAAATAGCACACCTCGAATATTTTGAAGTGCATCGTTGAATTATCGAAGGAGTTTATCTCTGGGCAATATAGATTCGAGCTTTGTAAAACGGAATTCATACTACAGATTTTCTCGGTTAAAGTGTCAGGCGTTTGAAGTAATGCTTGGTAAAATTATATTTCAATGGAAATGTCAACAATTTGTCAGGTGCATATATCCGTCTTCAGGAGAATACAAAAGTGTTCACTATCCACCTCTGAATATTGACACGAAATCTTCACAAGCACTTATCATGTGAAATATGACGTGATAAGTAAAACCCATCTTCGTTGTTAGCCATAGTAATGAGTGAAACTAGTGGTTAGTGCAGTGACTCCTGTCAATGAAGATACTTCTGCATAAATGCGTTTGGCTGAAACCGTATGAAGAGTTTTTGTGTCTGGAGAGGCAAGTTTATGGCAATCAAAGTGGTCAGTGTCAAGAAAGCTTATGTGATATGTGATGAACCAAACCTGTTATGTAATTACGTATTATTTTGATATAGAATAAGATTTGGACTTAAAACTACATTGAATGTTGTTAAGTCAATATTTGGCTCTGAAATGAGCCACCATTGCTTATGGATTCCATCTGTGATCAATAATTCACCCGTTTTCTTAATAACATAAAAATAGTTTTTGGTTGAATAAATTTGTGAAAGAAACAGATATAGTTTACTGCAAAGTCAAATGTTAGACGAAATTGTTGAATATAATGAGTGTATTTAACGTGATGAAGACTTTGCAACAGTACTTATTTACCGGGTATAAACAACAGCAAACTGCTGGTTTTGCATGTGCTAGTAGATTTTGATGATTAAATAGATACAACCAAATCATCCAAATGCATAATACTACTTCAACCTCACTCAATGGTATGACATGTCGTTGATACTCGATCCAGATATTTCGACTACTAACGTGCTAAATCTCTACCAGTTCATCATTCAAAACTAACCATCTGCAAATGCCATGTGTTACGACCACTGGAAATCAATTCTATATTTCCCAATACCGCGGTTTTACACTACACTGTTAGACAATTAGACTCAGTATACTAACAAACTTTATTACTACTCAGGTAACTCAGCATAATCATTACAATAGTATGTGTTAAAGCGTAATTTTAAAAAGGTATGGTTCACTTACCTCCATGAGAAGACATGGTTGATAATAACTGCTGTTTAGTTTACGAGTCACTTCATATTCTGCCCATGCACAGCTTCGTTTATATAATGGAAAATTTACTTCCGGTTTGATTAATTAATTACCCAATATCAATTGTTGTTATGTTGTGGTTGGTTAGATATCTGCAAATTGTTTCAATGAACTGACAGTTTATTCATATGTATCAACCATACAATTCATGAATTAATTATCATGTTTCATTTTATTGTATGCAAATATAAAATATTTGAAAGTGATTTCGTTTGAATAAACAATTTATATGTTGAATTTTTGAGTTTGACATTATTATGGTGACCTAAAATTAGTCCACAAACAAATTTTGTCCTGAAAATAAATAAGTGAATGTTCATATATTTTAATGTGTATTTCATTTCTCCATGTACGTAAAAACAAAATCCATTTCGGTTACAATCGTACAGTGAGATACTTGAGTGTAGATGTTTGTCATATTGCAAGAATCTCACCGATCCAATTTCAAGTATAACTAATTAATGAGCTTTAGTGTTTTGATAAGTCGAAGCTAGACAACATTTGAGATGGAAACTGAAATCAACGGTTTGATGATTTGGATTATTTCACGAGACAATCTGAGAGTGGTGTGTGAACTAATTGAACTTAAGCGATCCAGAAATCCCCATGGAATATTCCATAGCAAGGAACTTTGTTGTCTGATTTTAGTATTGCTGTAATCTAGTGAACACCCAGTTGTATTGAAGGGACTCATCGAGTACGCGAAGTATCGTGTGAAATTCGGTGAAGCGAAAACTGTTGGATTTTGTTCGTGATTACATTGTTATACATGGTTTTTTAAGCAGTGTTGTAAATCCCTTCGTCGGTGTAAGATTAAACGTAATGTTAGTTTGGTGAGAAGATATTTCTTGAGCCAAATTGAATCTCTTCAAACGCATATATGGTTGAGTTAGAAGCGAGTGTTACACAGAGATTACGTGCTAATGAATTTCTTTCCTCCTAAAATCCAGTGGATTCATCTGCGACCTATGTCCTAGATGTACAGCGAACCAGGGAAAATGAGAGAATCGACGGGGACAACGGACTAAACAACCAAATGTTCAAATCTGATTTTCCGTGCAACTTCTGTTGCAAGTAAGCATCGAACCGAGCTAGCTTCTAGGCTAGCCACCATCCCACTGAAAAGTATAGATAAGCATTGGTTGCAACTGCATGACGCCATGAAAATGGCGAGTTAATCCGCTCGCGGCTTCATGAAACGTCCCGCTTATAAGCACTGAGTTTCTTCAGACTCCTTACAACTCATCGAAGCCCGTCGGTCTACTCCGGGTGACCGTGAGTTTGACCACAAACGAAGGCTGTTACGTAATGAAACCTGGCAAAGCTTGTGTAAGGACCGAGAAGCCTAGTGGTCGGAGCGTGCTAATGAGCTGGAAGCAGCAGCTGCATCTGGTAACTACCGGAAGCTCTTTCAACTCATCCGAGCCACTTGCAGCAAGAAGTCTGGTGTGAGCGAAACAATCTGCGGGGTTGACGGGATGCCAATCACTATCATCATCCATTGACTTTCTGGTTAAGGAACTGACAACGTTGTTTACAAAGCTCTGGGAGCTGGATAGTGTTCCAACATCATGGAACGAGTCAATAGTTGTCCCTATCTTTAAGAAAGGTTCACGTTCTTTCTGTAGCAACTATCGGGGGATAATTCTACTTTCGATTGCGTCCAAACTGTTGGCTTCCGTCATACTTCATAGGTTGTTCAAAAACCGAGAAAGATTGACTCGCGGGGAGCTGGCTGGTTTTCGTTCTGGTCGAGGATGTATTGATCATATATTCACCCTCCGTCAAATGTTAGAACACCGTCATACTTATCACAGGCCAACAATCGCAGTGTTTTTGACACCAAGACTGCCTTCGACTTGTTAGACAGGACTGCTCTCTGGGATTATCTATTGAAGAAGGGTATGCCTGAGAAGTTTATTAACACCATAAAGGTCCTATATACAAACACCTCAAGTAGAGTGAGGGCATACAACCACCTTTCTCCACTGTTCCATTCAAGCAGTATGGTTAGACAGGGTTGTCCAATCTCACCATTCTTCTTCAACTTTTCCATCGATGACATTCTGGAAATAGCTCTGATGGTTGTAAGTAATGGCGGTGTGGAAAAAGGCTTCTCGAACTTGAGCATGCGGATGATATTATCTTACTGTGCGATAATACCCAAGCCATGGAATCCGCACTTAATCAGTTGGCAATCAGTGTCCATAGGTACGGTATGTGCTTTGCACCTTTGAAGTGAAAAGTACTTCTATAAGACTGGCAGGATTCTAATCCCGTACTCACCCTTGTTGGTGAGCAGATAGAAGTGGTCGAGAAGTTCGTGAATCTGGGTAGCTGTGTGAGTGCTGGTGTTGGCGTGAGTGATGAGATCAATGCACGTATAGTGAAAGCCAGAATGGCTTATGCCAATCTGGACCATCTTTGATGCTTCGTAATGTCAGTCTGAGTGTAACAGGTCGCATCTAGAATGCGTCGGTTAGGGCAGTTTTGCTCTACGCTTGTGCAACATGGCTTCTCCGAGTTGAGGACGTTATACGACTCTCTGTGTTTGATCATCATTGTCTCCGAAGGATCGTTGACATCCAGTGGCAACACCATGTTATTAATGCAGAGGTTCGGCATCGTGTGTTTGGGCGAAGAGACGATAATCTAATTGGTGTCACCATCTTGAAACATCGACTTCGGTGGCTTGGACATGTTCTACGAATGTCGTCACAGGGAATTCCACGTCGTGCATTATTTGCCAACTCTGGGACTGGTTGGAAAAAGCGTAGAGGTGGTCAGTGTATGACATGATGTCAGGGTATGAAAGAAATCCGCAAAGTGCTGGCTCCTGTCTGTCCTTCACAACTCCCTGGCTGGGGTCTGAGAGATGGTGCAACACAGTGGGTAGAGACGTTATCAGATATGGCTCAGAATAGAAACCGGTGGCGATACTGCTGTAACTTTCTTTTACTTTCTTCATAAAATTTATTGTAACTTCTATAACTGAAAGAAATCTTTCTGGTTGTACCTTTCCGTTTCCCCCATTATTATTATTATTATTATTATTATTATTATTATTATTATTATTATTATTATTATTATTATTATTGTACCACCATACACTAATCTGTGGTCGTAATTGTTCTCTTTTTTTCTTATACGCACCTTACGTTATTTTTCGCTCCCCATTCTCATCGTTTTGTGTGGCGCATATATATCTGGTGCCCCCTTGTGCCAATATTTATGTGTTTAAATGAATAAATAAATAAATAACCGGAATGATTTTAGCTTCTTTTGCAAATCTCGACGGGACTCAACTAGACATTTGTTTATGAAGTTTAATTCTGTAATTGTATTCTTATAGGTGTTTGGTGTTTTCTTCAAGATGTTTACCTTATATTGTTGTGAGTTTTACTGAATATAACCTCTTTATTAAAGAGGAGGAATGTACTTGTAAAATCTCAGCGAATGAACTTTGAAGTAAATCCAACTTTTCGCCTGACAATCTAGTCTAAGCTTTTCAAGGAAATACCTCTTTATTCTTATCATTCTTTCTAATGTTCTTATTTTTGTGTTGCGTGCTATCTTGGAGTTCGCCTTCTTTACTGCCCTTTCTAATACGCTTTCTTGTAATTTATACTACGGTAGTCAAACTCTCTGCATTTAGGTGTATAATCTTCACTGATGATAGCATTTTGAATGCTAGGATAGATTGCTTCCGCTTTGTTCTCAGATATTTATGAAACACTTACTCAGCTATTCATACTATTCAATATGTATATCATTTCTGAATTTCATGTCTTTAGTTTTTTAAATATTTTATCATCTTTGGATAGTGTTATTTGGACTGCTTTATATTATTTCATTTTCCATTTGTTTGGATTTTGCCTCTGGCGTACCAAATAAGAATAGATCTTCATTGATTCAACGCTATTATGTTTCACTTTTTGAACGCATCCACTTCCATTTTTGTTTGATTTCTTTTAGTGACATTTACCTCTTCCGGTGTTTCCAGTCAATGAATTATCGTATTTTCTTTATGAGCTATGAGTATTTTGTTAGCTTGATTTTATTTAAAGAATAGGTTGGTGAAATCCAGTTTTCTGAAAATTGTGATTAGCACTACAAGAATGATATGAATAAGTTTCACCCGAAAGGCTTTTCTGCGTCAGTGTTTAGTCTCCCTACATTGATTAAGGTAGTTTAGAGTGTATATTTCTTCAGTCATTTTGGTTGTCTTTTTATCACTAGTGAGTAAGTTACTGATGAGATTGAGGCAAGGTACGGAGTGGTTACATGAATTTTTTTATTCGCACAATTCGTTCACAATCGAGAGTTTCCTATACTTCCGATTCTAGATATGTCAAACACACCATAACAGTAAACAGTGCGAAAGTTGGTGAAATTACAGAAATAATTACACCGAAACTTCATGAAATATACCGTTAAAGACGTTTATAATTTGTAGATGTAGTAAAAAATGTGAATATCACCGACAAAACTATGTTTTCTCCGCACATTATATATAGCTTCAGGGATATTCCACTGACAGAAACCATCGATTACACATGCGAACAGCTTTTAAGAAATAATTCAAGGCTACTTATGCCGACAATGAAAATATAGAAGCTTCCGGTCATATGCATCACGGATACCCAATTCATGTCTAATAACGAATTTGTAGAGAAATAAATGGAGAAGCGTTGAGATCTTCACTAGATTCAATACTCGTTGATGATTTTTCTCCTTTCCAGAGAGATGGGACGTTATGTGAAATGTGGTTTATTCACAATATCTGAGGCAGCCAATGTACCCACTTCCATAGCTTCACACCTCTTCAGTACAAGATAAATGTGGTCAAGTGTCTCAGCCATAGAGTCAGACTATTGTTTTGAGGATAGTGTAGATGATGAGATGGATAAAGTAACGGCTACACAACGAAATAACGGCTACCGCTATAACGGGACGAGTACTAGAGAAATTGGTTTTTTGAGCTATTTCGCAGATCCATGTATGCGAAATAACAACCTCTGGGTGAGTAGAATACAGTAATAAGACCTAACATGATATGTTCCCTTGTTTCCGGAACTAAAAACTGGAGATAGAATAT